CAATGCATATTATTATGTCGACACATTATCCCATGACTAATTTTGACCTCCGGGATACATGCACCTACTTTTTGTTAACAAATTGTTTTTCTCATTTGATTAGGCTCATCGAGTGTCTCATAAACTATGGACTCAATCCCGGAAACCACTTGCCCTAGCTCTTCAATCCCGGATCTCCGATGTCTTTGCAATTGACATCCACCCGGGTGCTAAGCTCGGGAAGGGAATATTGTTCGACCACGCGACAGGTGTCGTTGTGGGTGAGACCGCAGTTATTGGCGACAATGTTTCAATGCTCCACCACGTCACTCTCGGAGGGACCGGAAAAGCAGGCGGAGACCGCCACCCGAAGATCGGAGACGGGGTGTTGATTGGTGCCGGGGCGACGATTTTGGGGAACGTGAAGATTGGTGACGGAGCAAAGATTGGTGCGGGTTCGGTGGTTCTGATTGAAGTGCCGCCACGTGCCACTGCGGTTGGGAATCCGGCGAGGGTGGTGGAAGGGAAGGAGGCGTCGAAGCTTGATGAATGTCCGGGGATGTCTATGGATCATACTTCGTTTATATCAGAGTGGTCTGATTACACTATCTGAATCTGAATCTGTCTTGATGGTTTTTGGATTTGTCTGAGTGGTGTTAATGTGTTGGTTAATAAGGTTCAAAATGTTTGAAATTAGTGCAACTTAAATAACATCAAGAGTGTTTATTATAGAAGAAGAAATGTCTAATAATTATTTTTAGGTCAGGAACTTAAGAGAACTATTTGGATTGTTGCTAGCCAAATGTAAAAATATTATGGGGATGCTTGGACATATGTTTTTCCAAAGTAAAAATATTAGGTGTATCTTTGTTAAATTAACCAATATTTGGAAGTTAGAGGCTTAAATCGTAGTTTTTATTTATGTAATATTGTTTGGTGAAATTAATCCTTAAAATCCGTAAAATTATACTAAAAGTAAAAGACAAAAGTTCTAGCTATCCTAATTATTGTTTGTTAAAAACTAACATATTTCCAAACAAAACTTTTCTTTAATTTAAGTTTTTTCCTTAAATGATAGAAATTAACAGTACTTAAAAGTTGGTTGTTAAACATATTTAAAACCATTGAATGGAATAGCTAGTAGATAAAGTTATAGATAGTTGAATAAACTCAGGAAATTTAACTTATCATAGTAATTATTTTTTTGTTCTTTTATGTTTAGGTAATTTTTTTTACACATATAGGTAACGAACTTTTTGGAAGTATTCACATATAACTAGGGTTGTAAACGAACTAAAAGTTCGGCGAACCATTCGTGAACCGTGCGATGGGAAGTTCGTTTATTTAATCAATAAACGAACACAAAACAAAAATTCTCATTCGTTTAGTTAAAAGAACGAACATGAACAATGGTCATGTTCGTTTATTTATGTTCGTGAACATTCGTTTATAATCTTTTTTTTTACGTTCATTTATGTTCGTTTAAGTTTCTTTATATTCATTTATGTTCAAATTTTTTTTTATTATATTATTTTATTATATGTTCGTTTATGTTCATATACACTCAATTGTGTTTGTTTATCTTTGTTCATTTACACATACATAAACAAAAGAACACGAACACGGTAATTTGTTAAATAAACGAACATATACAAGAAAAATCGTTCGTTTATCTGTTTGTGTTTGTTCGTTTGTTCGACTAACTTAAACGAACAAACATAGACAAACATTTGTTCGTTCGTGTTCGTTTGGTTTGTTTATAGCCCTACATATGACCATTATGATCGGCTGTAGCAAGTTACAACCGGTCATAGCCGATCATAATGATCATATTTCAACACTTCAAACAAATTCGTTAGGCAGTTATGTATAAAAAAAAGTTACGAAAATATAAACAAAACGAAAATATAATTACCCTAATAATTCAAATTTTCTTTTTATTAAGACGGTCAATCACAATATTTGTAATATTAATAGATTCAGTTAAATTTCTTTAAAACAAAATATTTATAAGAATAATGAACATTTAAATTGGTTAAGTTACGAGTCATTTTTGATAGCATAATTATCAAATAACCATATATATATATATATATATATATATATATATATATATATATATATATATATATATATATATTAATTTTATTTTTGCATTTTAAAATTCTTGTAATATATGGATCAAATTTCATTGAAAACTGCATTTTATTTCAAGTTATTACTCTTTACATGTGATATTTTTAGTCTCTAGTAAATTTTAATTGTATATTTAATATCTTAAACAACAAAATTTTATAAAATGATGATGTGTGTTTTTCTTTGTCAAACGTTAAGTTTTTTTAAGCCAGATTAGTGTATTTAAAAACAATTATTCACCACAATGGTATAGTATTAAAAATATTTACCATTTAGGTTAAATTTTTATACCAAATCAAAATTAGAAGGTAAAATAAAAAATGCAAATTGAATTATCTAGATAATTTCTTTTTCGTTTTATTTATATTTAAGTAATTTCTTTTCTTTTGTATATATATCAGTAAAGAAACTTCTTGAAGTGTTCACATATGATCATTATGGCCGACTGTAACTTGTTAATGCTTGTTAAAATGGTCATATGTAAACACTTCCTACAAGTTCGTTACCCAAATTTGAACAAAACAAAAAAATAATTTCTTTTATAAGTCAATTTCATATAAACTTATATATATATATATATATATATATATATATATATATATATATATATATATATATTATTTACAAAAATCAACTATATTTTTTTTTTCAAACATGATCATCTTATAAAAATATTTTAAGAATCAAATTCGGTTTTATTGAATGACATAACTCAAATAAAACCTTTTACAAAGTTCAAAGCTTTTCTTTGATAATTTTTAAGTTTCAATGAAATTGATATTGAAGAAATTGATTAAACAAGAAATTCATTTTTAGAAGTTAATTCTGGTTTTATACATAATAAATTGATAATCAACTTAGAGGGTGTTTGGGATTATTTTTGAACATCAAAACTTCTTTTTGTAGAAGTATTTTTTGTAAAATGACTTTTAGCAAAAAAAAAAAAAAAAGGTTTTTAAAATTTGTTTTGATTGGCAAAAAGACTTTTGATTTAACTTTTATAGGTAAAACAAAAAAAATCATAAAAAATCATGTTTTTATGAATTTTAGAAACTTCTTATTTTCTTTTTTCCAAAAGTCATTTCCAAAAGAATTTTGAACAATCCAGACACGTTTTGACTTTTTTTTTAAACATTTAAAAAAATTAAAAACCAAAAATTATTTTAAAACAACCCCAATCACCTCATGGTAAATATTAGTTTATGAATATAAAAGACAAAACTATAAATTTGGTCCTTGTGGTTTGTCAAAAACTGTGGATGAGGTTCAAAAATATTTCAACTTGCACCATTAGTCCAAAATGAAAATTTTCTTGTGGATTTGGTCCCTTACAAATGTGAAAAGACTATCATACCCTTTTGAATTTCTTTTTTATATTTTATAATATTTATTTCTATATTTCGAGAATTAAAAAAAATAAAAAAAATCCCACCATATCTCTACCCCACCAAACTCGGACCCCCACCCCCTCTCTCCCCCCACCCCCACCCCACTCTTTCCCTTGTTGATAAACTAGATATTCCAGAAACCAAAAATTTGAATGCAGACAAAGCAAATCAAAAACCCAAAACATGAAGGTTTTGAGAAAACCCTTCTAACTGTTAACAACTTTAACCCATAGAATACGAAGTGATTGGTTGTTATGTTTTTGGAGCCTATTGCGATTTTGTGAAAACCCAACAAATCGAAAATCAGATGTAGCAAAATCGAACTGCTCTGCTGCCCCCTGATTCGAACCTATTACGGTTTTGGAGTTAATCCTTATTATTGCAACTTCATGTTTTCATGTATATGTCTCAAACACCATCTATGCTCTGCATTTGGAAACACTTTTGCTATTGCAGGTATTATGCCCTACATACAATGTAATTTATAGTTAGTATTGTTACAAGCTTTAAAATATACTTATGTTATATGTATTCATACCTTTTGTATGTCAGATACAAAAGTGAAGTTGCATGATGCATCCAAATCCAAATCATCACCAAGGCATTCTAAGAACCATGTCCATGAACTTGTTGTCTCAGCTTCCACAACTGCATAAGCTAGTGGATATATTCCATTGTTGGAATCAAGACCTACAGCTGTTAGAATTTGTCCAGGGTGTGGTCCTTTCAAGAAACATCCATCCAATCCTAATAATTCCCTTTTTCCATATTTGAACCCCAACTTAATTGCTCCAAGACAAATGTATGTCCTCTTGAAAATACGAGTTTGAACGTTAGGATTTGGTTCATTACACACTTCTAGCTTCATTGTTGTACCTGGGTTATTGGTTTGTAACTCCAAACAGTAATCTCTCAACAAATTATATTGCCTTTCGTAGTCACCATACAGTTGTTCCTTTGCAATTGATTTAGCCCTGAACACCTTCATTCTTGATATGCTTAATTCCAAATCCATTCGAAGCTCTTCTTGTAAGGCTGTTACTGGGATGCGATGGTTAGAATCCACTTTTTGGAGAATAATGCTTGCAAGATATCTAGATGTACATTCCTTCACATTTCTACTTTGTAAGCATAAATGCTCATCAACAATTGTCTTCACCAACCATTGTTCCTCTTCCGTAGATCTAGATATCTGAATAGCAAAAGGAAAAGAATTTTTTTGTGAAATTACAGTTTTGCCCTTTGATGTGGCTTTACTTACAGTGGAATCTGGAACCACCCCTTTACACTTGACTCTTACTCTCAAATTTTCATTTTTTTGCCATGTGTAGGGCCCTCCTTGTTTTTATTGAAAGCATCTTCACGTGACTTTGTATATCTTTTTTGGTTTTAAAAGCTTAGCCCACAAAAAATGGTGTAACATGAACTACCCCAGAAGAACAAGGCACGTTCTTGTTCAGGTTTTTTTAACACTCTCTTCCTTAGGTATTCCTCATATCATGCACTTTCAAAGTCATCATTGTTGATCACACCTAAATAATCATCTCGATTTAAATCTAATTCTATGTTTGGACCTTGTCCAAACCATTCAACCTCATCCACACAACTATGAAACTCTCTCATATCAACCTTCCAATCATCTAAAATAGCTTTTGGGTCAACAATGTAGTCAGAATCATCATCTTCTTCCGTATGCTCTTCTAAATCATCTTTTGAATCCTCTGTATGACCTTGTTCATCTTCTTCGTCCCGTTCTTCTTCAGCTTCAATCTCTCTTTCAAACTCACCCATATTCTGATATCCATCACTACTAAAAGGCTCAAAATCATCTAGCATTTCCCTATGACTCTAACAATTAATATCAATTGTAATTTCTTGCATTGTATCAGTTTCTTTTGGTACAGGGAAATACGAATTGTCCTTAAACTCGTTAACAATGTCTTGCTTGTTTGGCTCAAAAGGAACTAGGGACATGGAAAAATCATACACACCATCTTCTTTCTGAGCTTGATTAGCTGATTCTTTAAGTGGGACATTCATGTCTAATTTCTTCCTACACGAACCAATTCCCTTTTTCTTAGGCCTAATCCTATTAAGCTCAGGAGAAGGATCATCATCCAGTTGCTCAATAACAACTTTACTTGGGGACATGAAGTAAGTATGAAGTCTTGTAGAACCATGTTCAAAGTACACATTAATCACTCTGTTTTGAGGGACAAATTGAGTCATAGATATAACATCTTGATCATTTACTTGAGCCTTCAATCCAAAATCGAAGTCTAGATTAGGAATTATATAATGATAGTACATTGTGCCATCCGCTGAATACCCTATCTCACGAATCATGTCATTTAGATCATGAACTGAAAAAAGATCAGTGTCAACAAAGTCATAGAATGCCAACCTTCCCTCAACGTACTTTCATCTTGGGAACTTTGAAAAAAATCCACCATGATGTATCTTTAAAGTGAAGAGATTATCGTGAGCATCTGAAAAAGAAAAATGACGAGCCTTGAATATATAAAACCAAGAAACACCAAACAAAAGATGAAACAACTTACTGTAATCTTTATCAAGGTCAGGTGCAATCGTATGAGGACCACGTAAATTCCACATACAAAGTACCATTTTTAGTTGATAAAACCTAAAATCGGATAGGAGGGATGAAGGATGAAGATCGTCAAGATGATCAGTAGGCTAAGGTGAAGAGGGGATGAAGGGGGTTTCTTAGACTCTACTTAATGAGGATAGGTTAATGACGTATCACTACCTAATCCATCTTAAATGAGCGCCAAACGTAAAAAGACGAATATACCCCCAACTTAATGACCCCAAACACCTACAAATTGATGGTGTTATGAAAAAGGACCTCTAATGCAACTTTTACAAATCACAATGGCCAAATGCATCAAAAAAATAGATAGGGATTAAGTTTATTACTTTTGACAAACCACAGGGACCATTTTTGTAATTTTTTCAAAAATGTACGAAAAAATAGTCTTTTTAAGTAAGACAGGGACCATACGCGTAACAAAAACAAACAATAGGAACCTTCAGAGTTAAAAAAATAAATTAGGGACCAAACATGCAAATTATCCTAAACCATATGGACCATTCGTGTAATTTACTCTAATAATAAATTCTATAAAAATAATAATAATAATTTCTTAAACTTAATAGAAATGTTGACATAATTGGAGTGGTTGTTTAAGAGCATGTTTAACTTATTACAAATGAAAATGGTAACCAATATCACTATTTTGGGCATAGGATACAATTGAATTAATACTTTTGCTTTCTTAAAAAAAATATAAGATTACTTATAAAATAAAAAAAAACAAAATATTTTTCTATAATACTAGATTATACTCTCAACATAAATCACCAAGAACAAAAAAGTTTAATTTTAAAATATGTGGATATCTCAATCAAATTTTATATGCGTTGAAGAATCCTTTTTAGGCTTCTTATATGTAAATAATACAAGTGACCAATAAAGTTTTGATGTTTTAAAAAAGTGAATTAAATTTGCTTGATCTTGATATTCATAATGTGCATAAATTGGTTATGAGTATGGATCAAATATGAAAGAAAACCATCAAAAGAAGTACAAAAAACTTTTAAATATAAGTACTTTTAAATATAAGTACCGGAGCTTGTTATACGCATTGTGGTTTGCAACTTAACTTTGTATGATATGATTAATATGGTAGAATTAAGCATTTTTTTTAGAACCATACAATGTATATATATATATATATATATATATATATATATATATATATATATATATATATATATATATATATATATATATATATATATATATAAACACATAAATACGATTTTAACGATATCAAAACATTGTAAATTTAAAGGATAATGCGAAATGATTTAACTCTTAATCTATTGTCATCTACTCGTCAAGCCAACCATGTCGATAATATTAAAGCAATACGATTTCAATTATTAGATATAGAGATCTTATTATTTAAATTAGCTAAAAATGATAATAGTTCAAAAATAAAAAATGATGAAACTCGTAATTTGGTAACTAAGGTAATTTAGTTAGCAAACATAAAACAATATACCATTTTAAATCATAAATTATTATAAATAACAACTTATAAGGGTTAAAAAGTATGATCCACTCTCAGATCCAATTTTTATCCAATATATAATAGTACCTTAGGTTCATTTATGACCCATATTTCGTTTTTAGGTTAATGAGTTGTTCACTTCACGTATTCAGCAAATTGAAGCGGGAAGGTCCAACAATTCTTTTCTCGATGTCCACGAAATATCAATTATATCATAGACGTCAAATAAAATCAACGATGGGTTGAAGATCATAGGCGTGAAACAAAGCACCCTTTTGTGACCTTAAATTATTTTTGCAAAATTATCAGTTTTACTCTAAAATGTGTGTTAAACATGTTACTTCCGTTCTGCATGAGTGATCAAAGGGTTATTTTGATATGACAATCAATTTCGTTATAAATCATATTGTAGGTATAATTTTTGTACATAACTTTCTTATTTGAAGTTGTAGTAAATCAAATAGAAATAGTCACTTGTTTTAACTTGTTCAAACACCTCTAATCAAGATGGATGTTTATAATGGTTGGTGGTGATGTTTATGAACATTGATTTTCAACAAAAATGTGGATTTATCAACGATTGAGTAACAATAATGAGAAAATCAACATAAATTGTCAAAAATGATTTTTTCGAGCTGTTTTACAGCCGCATAATTGAATCCAAATCTCACAAAAACTAATTTATATACAACATTTTTTATTTATGCATGTCAATCTTACATACTGATATTTTTTATCCATACGTATGAATTTATTTCCAATCCAGATATCATCATTGAATAATATGTCAATTTAAGTGAAACATACGTATGATTTTTTTTTTTTTTTTTTTTTTATCCATACTAATCAACGATAATCTAGAATGTTCGTTTGATGATGTAACCACTTACAATATGAATGGTCATTTGATTTTACTTGTAATAATCTATAAAAAAAATAAATGTAATTGCTGGCTATGGGGTTCGAACCCATGCGCACTTATGTGCAGAAGATCTTAAGTCTTCCCCCTTAACCTCTCGGGCAAACCAGCTACATGTACAATTATCTTAATTGCGTCTATCTAATATTTAGAACTACTAACTGTCGACCGAAATAGAAATAGTTGAAAGTTACTTTACTTATTTAAGTTTCTTGACCTTAACAAAAGTTGACAGACTTTACCCTTTTGTTTTGGTGAAAGAAATTGATTAAAGTTGATTATCTTTCTATATTTTTTGCATTTTTTTTTTTGTGAAATCTGCAATAAAGTATCTAGACTTTTGCTCTATTAACGGAAAAACCATCCTTGATTTTTTTTGGTTGCAATTTATCTCAAAAAAACTAGTAAACAATTGCAAAAAAAAAAAAAAAAACACTTGACCCCGGTTTCATAAAATTTTAAGGATTTTTCTAAAAATAAACAATCAGAAATGTTTTTTTCGTTAATAAGGTTAAATTTAAAATAAAAATTAATTTTCTTTTTATATCTACTAAATTAACGAAGAAAACTCATACAAATGGTATCTTAATGATTTTAGTTATCATATATAATTTAAGAAGACTTTATTGATTTGAAAATTTATCGTATGAAATGCGTTTTTATGAAACATGTTACCTTTATTATTGAATTTTCACGTCGTAGGTATAAATAAAGTGAGTTGTTGAATTTTGTAGGACACATGTTACCTTTATTGTTATAAAAACATATGTTGAAAATGATATATACAATTATAATTTTAGTTATAATATTTATTGAAGAAATGACAAAAAAAACCTAAAAAAATGATATATAAATTATCATTATTATATTTTTTAGTAAATAAAAATGAAATTTTTAGTTCAAATGATATATATATATATATATATATATATATATATATATTAATGAATAAATATGACTTTTCTTTGTTAATTTAGATATAAATAGAAAAATTTTCAGAAAAGTTCTTAAATTTTAAACATAACGGAAAAACCATATTTATTGTTTATTTTCAGACTAGTCCTTAAATTTTCAGAAAACCTTGAAAAACGACATTAGCCCAGAACAAGGATTGTTTACCGGTTTTTTGATCTAAATTGCACCAAAAAAGGATGACTTTTCGTTACAGAGCCAAACTTCAGGGACTTTATTACATTTTTTTTTGTAAAAGTTCAATTAGAGTACTTTAAAAGATTATGATTAGTTATATAGGGGTTAACAGCAAAGAACCGAAATCAACTTTTTCTTTCAGATTGTGATTATCTAAGTGAAGCACTTTCATTTTTGTGGTTTACTATTGTTGTATTAAATTAAAATATGTGTATGACGATTGAAAAATAACAAATTCGTTTACAGATTACTCGTTTATGATTAGAGAAGTATTCAAAAATATACTACATTCTAAAAGAAAAAAATATATATTTGTCCAGTTACCTTTTAGCTGACCACAACAGTTTGCCAAGGAGCATCGATGCATATTATTATGTCGACACATTATCCCAGCCCCTTTGTTAATGACTTGTTTTTCTCATTTGATTAGGCTCATCGGGTGTCTCATAAACTATGGACTCAATCCCGGAAACCACTCGCCCTAGCTCTTCAATCCCGGATCTCCGATGTCTTTGCAATTGACATCCACCCGGGTGCTAAGCTTGGGAAGGGAATATTGTTCGACCACGCGACAGTGTCGTTGTGGGTGAGAGCGCAGTTATTGGCGACAATGTTTCAATGCTCCACCACGTCACTCTCGGAGGCACCGGAAAAGCTGGCGGATACCG